GATTGCAGTCGAGACGGCCCGAGTGGAGTTTCATGTAAATGTTTCGTACGGAAAAAAAAATCGCAACCCGGACAGCGTGCCTCTCGCTGTGCCAGTAGCTTGGTCGAAAATGTTGATCATAAGATCCATATGCCGGAACTCCGACAAATTAGCATTTTGAGGGCCTTATAGATTTCTGAAACCTATAATTCGTAATATTCTATATAAATTTTCATTCATTTGGGTATTGTTTAGGGCCATATAGCAGTAGAAATAGAGGGTGGGGTCCTGCAGGGCCGGGAGGAACTTTCACAGACGGATGGTCAATACCACCTCAGCCCCACCATGGTTGGATTTTTGAGGGCTGAGGTAAGAAAATTTATGATTATGGCCGGAAATGGCACTCTCAAACAAAATTTTATTATGATTTTTCTTTTTTCTCCATTTCTTCTGAGCTCTCCTCACCCCCTAATCCGCCACTGTGAAGTTATAACTTTTTTATGTCCTTTACATCTGTAGGTCTACAGATGACATGGCATCAATCTGCAATCACTGGAGCTGATAATTTCCAACAGATTCGTAGCACATTATCAAAATCAACGGTTAGAAGAGCGGGCAAAAAGAAAAAAGGTAATACATAGGCCTACTTGGCCTATAGCATTTCGCGATAATTAAGACAGATTGTAATGAAATAATAGGTTTTAAAAAGTAGACTTTTTGAAATTTGGTGGTCCAGGGGCTGAGACCTGGGGAGGGGGGTGGTTGAGAAAAGCCCCACTGGAGGCTCCGACAAAGTAGCATTTTGAGAGTCTTATAATGGATTTCTCAAACACATAATTCGTGAATATTTTATTTAAATTTTCATTAATTTGGGTTTTTTGGGGGCCTGAAGAATGCCTAGGTCCGACAGATAACATTTGTTCATATTATAGATCAATCTGCAGTCTCTGGAGACGATTTTCCAACAATTCATATCATTTTTAAAATCAACGGCTGGATGTGCTGGCAAACATATGCAATGCATGCTATAGCATTTTGTGATAATTAGGAACGATTTTGTGAAATAATAGGTTTTAAAAAGTGGACCTTTTGGAATTGGGTGGGGGGAGGGGGGTCCGCACCCAATTCAGGGTGCGGACTTCAGACCCGCCTACGGGCCTGAAGTTCTTAAATCAAAGTTACGCCGCTAAAATTGGAAAGAACTGTTGGGACAATTCCGAGTAGTAAACGCCCAATTAGGTCTACTATACTTATGTCTAATCAAGCGAACATCAACAACTAAAGTATTAAATCGTGTTCAATTGTACCTGATTGTACCTGTATTCGGGCGTTTCGCTCCACTACTCAAGGTAAACCTTAGGTAGGCATGCTTAGCCAGGAAGGAATGGCTTAACCAATCATTGAGGTGCAAATTCGTAATTTGACTCCCGAAACTGAAATGTTTTCGTTTAAAATACACAGCGGTGAAAAAGCTGAACCGAGGAAGAAGCTGGAAAGAACTAGGAATTTGTTTTTAACTGAAGGTGCTGATTTTGTGTCATATTTATCATCCGTTCTTCATCAGTTGCGACGTACCCATATTGTGCACAAATGGCCTCTCTATGTGGCAACAATTTTATGAAAAAGATGCGTCATGGATGCTTTGCAGGTGAGTATACTTATAGTTCGAGCAGGTGTTGGTTTCGTAGGCCTCATCATCTTGCCGGTTGCCTGTTATTGTGATACACCAGCCCTGGTTTACACACAAGATTATTTGAATCTTCTTTAGCCCTGCTATTTAACTCAGTGTTATTCGAAAAGTGAAATCTGTGGCCTAAAAACCTGCCATTTATTTCAAAACATTCTTCATCTACAGTACTTAAAAATAGTTTTGTGAATATCAACAAACTCGGCACAAATCAACTCGGCCCAAAATCTCCGACAGCTTTTCCCCCAAAACCCAAAACAGATCATACAAAAACCAAACTCCGACCAAAATTCAACGTGCTCTGCCCATTTTTTATATGGTTTCTAAGGTTTATATAAACGTTGATCAGCATTGATGAAATTCTGATGTCACCATAGTTATCAACCTTGAGAGAGAGATTTTAAAATGTGTGACTACACCAGCTGGCTGGGGGCGTGGGCGTGGCCACCGCAGGGGTCAAGGGGTGAAAGTCACAAAATCAACGGTTGGTTCTGACAATGAACGCGCAAGACCGCATGCGCCTCCTAGATTCTACTATGTGCGTGTTTGGCTGAGTTATTTTTGTCAAAAAATAGAAATATTCTCCGCGGTGAATTGATTCACGAGATAACAACATTTTTAATAAAACCAATTTCTTCTAATTTTAAAAAGATTTTCCCCTGAACTTGTAATAATTTGTTATCACGAATAGACTTGTGCTAAATGCGTGACAAATTTATGATCACGCATGTGTTTCTGCAAAATGCGTGTTTCATCCAAAATTCACTTTGAAATACAGGACCGTCTCGCACTGTGCGAGACAGTTGGTATCTCACGACTGATTTTCTAAAATGGAATCTCTGTGAACGAAGGTTCCCCTACAGTGACGGTGCCTGCAGGGCACAAGTCAAAGAGTACCATTTCTGACCACCCAAAAGTCCCTATTTTTTTTAAAATCTCATTAAAATACATTAGATCCGATGAAGACCATTGGTTTTACAAAGAGATATTGATGAGATTTTGAATTGTTTCAAAATTAATTTATTAGAGCTTTAAACCTTAAAAAATGTTCTGCCATTAGTCTTACACGTATGAGGAATTGGGTGCGTCCTTCGTATGTCCTTGATGGGCATGTTTTGTCGAATCCCAATCATCTTAAAATTCTTGGGGTATTATTTCCTATAATCGTTTCTGTGGACGTCAAGATAATGAGGCTACTTCCAAATGTTATCGTATTTTGGGGTTTATTCGTTCTATTGCTTTTGGGTGTTCTACTTCCGTTCTTTTAAAATTATAAGTGTCTAGTCCTCCCACATATCCATTATTGTAATCATGTTTGGTATCCTTATCGAGTAGGTCATAAAGCACAAATTGAAAATATTCAACGCAAGGCTACTTGATATATTCTTCAGCAAAAACCTCAGGAACAATCTTATGTGGGAAGATTAGACACTTTGAAATTAATGTCTTTTGAAAAATTAAGTGACTATTTTACTATATTAAATATTTGTCGTTTGCTTTATTCCTCCCACGCAAGTTTAGTTTCTAGTAAATTAATTATTAATAATCATCATTCTTATCTTTTAACATTTAAACATTTAAAATCTAAAACTGACTTCTAAATTTTCAATTCCAACTAGATTTATGAGATTGTGGAATAACCTCCATCCTGATATCCGAAATTATTTTATTATATCTTTTAATTTTGATTTGTTCAAATGCAAGTTAAAAAAATGTGTTAATGATTTTTAATTGTTCTATATTATTATTCCATTATTATTATTATTATTATTATTATTATTATTATTATTATTATTATTATTATTATTATTATTATTATTTATTCCATTTATTTATTTTATTATTATTATTATTTTATTATTATTATTTTTATTATCCATATATATTTTTTTCCTGGGAGCAGCACATCTCTAAGGTGACAGTGGTTCGACTTTTGCTGCTCCCTGGCTCACCTGATTTCCTTTGTTTGTGAATTTCTGATTATTTTTGTATTTGTAATATTTTATATTGTTAATTGTTTTGCCAGAATGAATAAAATAAAATTTGGATATAATATAATACAGTATACCCTAGAGCTGCCAATAGTCCCCAAATAGGGTTCTATTGTAGATCCGAAAAAAATTCAAATCAATGTTTTCATTGATTTGTCTATTTTTAATATATGTTGTAAATAACTTTTAAAATAACTGTGGTTTTTTTTTTAAATCGATATTTAGGGTCAGCAATGTATAGCCCCGATGTATACATAATGACAAAGAAACACTCGCGAAGACCGAAGATGAAGAAGGGTGATAATTCGTATGGTTTCCATCAAAACTGGGCTATGGATAATGAAGCTATGGAGAATGATAGTTTTTATGTTTATGATGGAGGTACTGTAGTCTAATTGAAATAATTTTAAATGCAGTATTTGATGATCATTATTCACTCACATTTAATATGATAAATAACTTTTCTTAATAAAATAATTGACAAAATTTATTTTTTATCTAGATTTAGTCTAAAATAAAATGGATTTTGATGATCCAAATACTAGTATGATTTTTTAAATTGCTTAGCTGGTGAGCAACAATATTCTTTCATAGCCTGTCTATCAGTAAAACCTATTTGTAGACAATGCAGCTTCTACGTGGTTAATTAATATGTTAATTAGGTTATTCCATTTCAAGTCAGGCTCCAGAGGAAAACAAAATTTCAAATGTTATTATACAACTTTCTAAGACACAAAAAGCATATTTGTCGAAAACTTGTGAACGGTTTAATGAGATACGATTTTTTAATATTTAAAAACTGCGGGAAAAGGTGGAATAAAGGGTGGTAACGTCTCTTTCTCGAAAGTTTTTGAATATTCTAAAGGCCGGTTCCCACTAAACTTGTTAAGCGAAAGCGTCACGCGGCAAGCGAGAATCGGGCAAAGTTCACAAGAGTTGACTTTCGGTAAAGAATGTCTCGCTTCCAATGATTCGCTTGCCTGTTCCCACTGCTGGCTGCGTGCAAAAACTTGAAATGGCAGGTGGCAACAAAGAAGTGATTTTGTTATTGCATTGATAGACAGAGGAAAAGGGCTGTGAGACGAATCAGATAAAATCCTCAGGATTAACATTCCCAGAACTCTATATGAATCAAAAGAGTGAATATAACACAGTTTTTATAGTTCATATTTATTCAAGGCCTATAGAGCTAGGCCTCCTAAGGATAGATAGTAGACCTAGCCTACACTACCATACGGTAGGTCTGGTGTAGCAGGTTATCAGAGGCCTAGGCTGGACAGGCCTAATACTGGTAGAAAGGGGAGATAACTCAACTCGTCTCTGCAAATATTTTCTTTGCTCCCTTGTCACAGACCTAAACAAGGGGAGCCTACTGTTCCACAGAGTTTGCATGAAACGGACTCGTCAGTCATCGTGCGCACATCTGTACATTGTTTTGACAATGTTCGTGACTTTATTGTTGACCTTTGAACATAAATTGAATCTAAGCCTTGCGATTGGTCCATCGGCCGCGAATTCGCTCGCGAATCCGAAAAAGTTGGTCTTTCATTTCATTATTTATTTGGTCATTTACAACAACAACAAAAAAAGCTGAAATTTGGGGAGACCAGGAAAAACCAGAGTGAACCAAATCACTGTAGCAAAGCCGGTTTACCCAACCCCAAATTCAGCAACACATTAAAAGATCAAACATTACAGTGAATCAAAATACAAAGAAACCTTACGAAGAAAAGAGGATGGGCTTTCTAAAACTGCAGCATCGGTTAACAATCTAGGGAGCTGGTCCCAAACACGAGGCAACCTGATGGCTACCGAGTTGAAAAATGCTTGGGTCCTTGATGCTTCATGGTGACGGAAACACAAGCAATCATTATGTCTGGTATTGATTTTGATACCATCATAAACCGTGCTGCAGCTTAGAAGGCCCATCAGAACTTTAAAGCAAAAAAATATAAGCAATTTGTCCCTTCTGACAGACAAAGATGAAAAAGAAAGCAAATGTAACCTCTCCTCAAAGCTCATCTGTCCTCAATGTTGTTTAAGAGCAAGACGAGTTGCTCTTCTATGGACTCCCTCAAGCAAATCTGACAAAGTTTTAGTCCATGGAAACCAGGCGGGTTGAGCATATTCCAGGCCTGGCAATACAAGGCTTTTGTAGAGAGACAAAAATGCACTGGTCGAAGCATGTCCAGCCACGCTCCAAACAAAACCAAGCATACGCTTAGCTTTGGAAACAATGGCATGGACATGGTCCTCCCAGGTCAATTTTGAGTTGAAAGTAACACCAAGGTATTTAATGGTGGTCACCGGACTAATAAGAGAGCCAGACAAGAAGGATCAACTCTTGTGAATTCGCAGACGAAGCCTCTGCGACCACCGCGCGTGTTCGCGTGTTAGACTACAAATTCGTTTGCATGTTCACATTGGAAACGCCAGTCGCGTCTTCGATTCAGCTGCGCGCGCCACATTTTGACGCGAAATTGGCTTGATCGCGCTCAGTGGGAACCGGCCTTTAGAAAAGTCAGTTACTTAGAAAAATGTTTTCTGGAGCCTGGTTTTACGCTGCCAGTGTCAGCTTTTTTTTTTCGCTACTCATCAATGTTGCTGAATGCAAAGTGACACCCCTTTAAATACACAAAATGGTATAGTTGTTTAATTATTCTTCATATCAATATTAACAAATATTTCAATATAAAAATAATTTACTTTATATCCAGTTTTCATGATGCTTGTAGTCTATGAAGCAGTTTTTTTAAGGAATTTTTATTTTATAATAAATTAAATTTATTTCAATACAATATTGCTGTATAATTTTAATTTTTTTTCCTTATAAAACTAGATAAATACTGAATAAGAGATCAAAGTGTATCATTTTAGTAGTATGTAAACATTGTTTTAATGATGAGAAATAAATGAGGTGATATTGTAATCTGTACCATTAGATACTTGTCTGAAATTTAAATGTGTGAATAAATTTGTGCAATGAATACAAATACAAAATAAACGTTACAATCGTACTCCAACACAGATAAGCTATTTTTCGAGTAATACAAATACTGTACTGTAAATGTAATTTTGGAGTAGTTTGAATGTTAAAATGCAAAACAATGTGAAGACTTACCATTTGAAGTAATGGCCACTAAAAATGTGACTAACTGCATGCTCCTTTACAGATAAAAAGCCAAAAAAGCTTAACTTGGTTGAAAGCGTGGTGATTGAGGAAGATTGCTCATGGTTCACTCCTAAAAGCTACCAATCTCTTGCTAAACCAACCCAGAATGACACTGCCAAATCAATCAACAAATGGAAGACACCTAAATCAATTGGAACGGTTGAGTCTAAGTGTATGACAGCCAAGCAATCAAGTTCTTTAAAAAAAGAGATAAGTGGAAAGCAGTCCACAGATACCAATCCATTCTGTACACCTCGACCACCATTAAAGGATATGAAAAACAGAAAGCAGAACTCTGGGATGAAGTCACCATTCAATGATTTGGAAAAAAGAAAGCAGCTGCCATGTACAAGCTCAGAAACAAAGGTAGATCAAGTGAGGGTCAGTTTAACAAACAAGAATCCAAATGCAGTCACTTCCAAGGAAGTTGGTGACAACAAGATAAGTACTCCATTCCGAAAACCTCAAAATTCAAATCCACAGCATATTTCAAATAATATTCATAAAGAAAAAAAAAATGTACAGTTACCTGTAACACCTGATCATGATGACAACAGCAGAACAACTAAGCAAGACCAAAATAAATTTACCAAGGGTATGCAAGATGAAAATTGTGATCCAGTTGAGCCTTCATTCATTGGAATCATTAACGGCCCTAAGCCCCATGTGGTTCTCTCAGAGACTGTAAAAAAGAATAATGTAAAAGGCAGACGAATGTTTTGTGAGAAACTCACAGAGAAGGCAACCTTGTTTGTGTCAGAAACACTTCCTGATGTCGAAGATCAACAGATGAGCATAGATGAGTTGGAAACGACTAAGTTGATGCAGGAGCATGCTCTCAAAGAACCAATCTTGCCAAGCTGTGATGAGAGTGTTGCCATTAGTTCACATCTAAAATTGACAATGTCTGTAGCAACTGATGCCAGTACCATGAACTTATCTGAAGTGGAGGGCAGCAAGCTTTATAACTCTAAAGATACTCATCAAATGAAATCTAGGCCAAACTCAACTGATATAAATTTGGATGTCTCTTCAAAGAATGAAACTTCCTTAGGTTCCACATCAACAGATTTTACTTCCACAGGTAGAACTTTGACAGATGTTACTACAACGGGTGTCACTTTGACAGATGTTACCTCTATGGGTTCGACTTTAACCGATGTTACATCAATGGCTGTATCTCCAGCAGATGCTTCTTTAGCAGGTGGTTCTTTAAAGGTGACACATCCATCTGCTTGCAAGAGAATATGTCTGCCTTCATATGTCAAAGATGATAACCAATCATGTAAAACGAAGTACCAATCTCCAACTTTGGCTCAGTTGAAGATGAGGAAGCAGAGATCCGTTGCAAAACTTGTCAAGGCATTTGAAGACTGTAAGATGACAACAACAAACCTGTTTGATAAAGTACCAGCCATGGCAACACTTGCAAGTACACAAAAACAAATTGAAGAAGAAACAATTCCAGATGATGATAAACTGAATAAAGACATCAATGGTATAATCATCCATGAACAGTCTCAGCTATTATCTCCCATTTTAACATCCCAGGAAGACTTAAAATGTGAAAGTAAGAATATTTGTGATTATTCAATGAAACCAAAAGAACTGGAGATTGGAATTGATAAAAACATCAAAAAAGTTCATTGTATTGAGAAGGGAATATATTCTAGTGAGCAAACTGCAATTCCTGCAGTATCAAAGTCATGCCTATTTGATTATGATACAATCTCACAAACTAAACCAGGAGTCAAACAAGGAAATTCAGAAAGTATCAGCTTGTTCAGAGAATCAGTGGGCAATAAAAATACAAAGGAATGCGAGACAGGCAGTAACAACCCTCCAGAAAAGTTATCATTATTGTGGACTGCTTCCATGCTGGATGATTACAGATCTAAGGATTTCAGTGTTGGTCAAGGAACTGAGGTAATCATTATGAATGAAGATGATCCAAAGCGGTTGTATGTTCAAATTGCAACCGCAGTGAATGGCAAAGTCAAATTAAAGCAAAAGACAGCAGGATATGTGCCAAGGGCATTGGTTCTTCCAAGATTTGCATCCCCAGGTAAGATAATAAGTATACAATTTAAAATACTTAGAACCCTCCTTTATGACACCCCTATTAAGAGGACACATTTTCGGCCACAAAACGAGAGAAAGTATATTTTTTGGAACACAACAGCGAAACCCTATAAAGAGGATACTGTACTTTTTTGTTCCAGAAGGTGTCCCTTTAATAGGGGTTCTACTATATACAAATTATAATATAAATAGACCAACATATTTTCATGATGATAATGTTGTGGTATTGGCAGAACTTAAACCCCTGGGCTTTAGGAAGGCAAGCACTTCAATCGACCATCAAGCCTAAACTTCAATTGATGATAAAATTCTCATTCTTTTTCTAATTGTGAATCTGTTCTGTACATGTGTAGTAATTCTATGAGCAAAAATGTGTACATGACACAAAATTACTAAGTGTAATCACATGTATTTACTGTACCTATCAGACAGTATAATAGTTATTTTCAACAGTGCATGTGTTTGCATCAGTAAAATAGTTTTATCAATTTCTGAGGAAGAAATATTGACTTTTGTATTTTTTTTTTTTAGCAACAAGAAGCACCTATCGTTCTCTTGATTCAAGGAAAAAGTCAAAAAATGTGTGTGGCCATGGCGTGCAAATGTTAAGTCAAAAACTGCCATTTGATGCAATAGATACGTTACAAACACCACCAAAAATCAAAACGTCAAGACATCTGATGAAACAAAGAGCTCACGATGATTATAAACCAATTCAGCTCTCCCAGAACCTTCCAACAGTTTCTCTTCTTATTGAATCTTATATAGTGCTCGAAGACCATCAACCAATTGAGAAAGACGAAGTTGAAGTATTGGCAGGCGAAGTGATTGTCGTGCATGCCGGACAGCAACGAGAGCTTGATTGGATGTGGGTTTACGTGCCAAGAGCTGAGAAATTTGGCTATATTCCAGCATTTTGTGCTACACCAATGGCACTAGACTCCCAAAAATCATACTAAATAAACACTATACAGTAATTACTAAAACTTCATCAGGTGTCTATATACTTTGATAGGATACCTCTCTACAAATCTGATACCCTTTCCAAACTTTCAGTACCATTTATGGATTGGCATGCAGCAAGTATATAAAGCACTCTTTTCTTACTACCATTAAAATGTTATAAGCCAGCCTCTGGAGGAAAAAACACCCCCACCCCACCCCCCATTTTAAATTATCAAAAATCTGTATCTCAATAGTTACCAGGTTTTTCATGAAACCTTTTGTCGTAGAAAAATCAGTTGTACATCATGTCAAAACAATGTTATTCTCCACAGCCTGGCTTTATGTACAAGCTAGTTCAGCTATGATTTTTATTAAATTTATGGTGAGGGATGCATTTTGAAGTGTATGCACGTTTTCTTGTACAATTATCAACATTTTCACAATTGTACAAACAGTACGCTAGGGGGAGGGCGTAGGCAAATTAGTACACTTTTACATGTGCATAAAAATGTTGATTCAAAATAACATGCATTATTTAAAATAATAGATTTGTATGCCCAATTACATTTTTAAGTAACCAAGTACAGTACTTAAGTTGACTTCACAAAAAAATGGAGAATGGTTTTGCAAAATCAACATTTTGTATGTACACTTTCAGAGAGGCGGAAGGGGGTACCGAAAAAGATTACTTTTTGTACACTTGTTGATAATTGTGAATGACCCCTATAAGTAGTCTATAGGTAATCAATTTGTATCTTCAATTTGGAAATTAATACAGTATAATTAATAAAATAATTTATTGATCTTAGTCAAATACATGCCAATTTGTCATAAAAATTACAAAATTCTAATTTTGCTGTACAAAAAACAAAATATTGACTATCATTAGTTGTTGTTGTCATCACTATTATGGGGAGGGGGAATGCCAAAAGAAAAACTATTTTTTCTATCTGTGTTTTTAATGGGGAGGGGGAATGCCAAAAGAAAAACTTTTTTTTCTATCTGTGTTTTTAATATTCAATAAAAAGGTCATCACAAACTACTGTATAAAATATAGTGTATAAACAAAAGGCCAGTCACTATGTCACACAGAATGCTTCCAAGATATCTACATACGTGTACTTTATAACATCGCAATAGAAAAGCAGTTCTCAAGCTGTGTCATGACCAAAAACTGGGTGACCAATAAGAGCATCACAAAACTCCTTAGGATTTAAATTTTAAGTATTGTACATACACCATGTATATTTTACTTCAATATTGTTCACCTGAATGACCCAAATACTGTATCTGTTTACGTTCTGGGAAGTGGGTCACCGCAAATTGCCTGGGCGTATGTTTGGGTACTTCGGCAAAAGTTTGAGGATGAAATTGTTGCATTGAATATCTGCACATCTTTGTTAACCAGTAGTATTTTACAAAGTCAGATTGATACACCACCAAGACAATGTTAAAAACAAACAGAGTAAGTTAATAAATTTTCTTTATTATTCTTTGTTGCGTGATTAATTAATGAATTCTTCATTAATATATTATTTGTTGTCTTCAGTATAATCAGTAATTAAGTGTTTGCTAATATAATTAAAGGCTGCAGAAACTATGCCAGAAACAAAAAATATAGCCCTACCTAGTTTGAAGGCACCTCTCAAATTATTACGCTTTCTAGTATGCCAAAATATGCACACTTGTGGTTTTTATTACTGATTAAATTACTGTACAAGGATTTATACTGTATTAAGTCCTTGATTATCAATTCCTGCTTTAAGTTTATTACCCTAGAAAATCGAAGTATGAAAGTGCTACCTTAACATCCTGAAAGCAACTGATCAGCAGTCAATGTTATTGTTATATATCTCATAATTACTTTCATATTAAAAGCATAAATGCTGACATCATAGTAATAAGTTCTACAATTACCATTATGTCATTATTAAATTTTTCTTCTACAAATATCTATTAAGTATTTGCTGTTAGGAAAATCACAGCTTTAGTACAGTATTTACATTATAAGTGGTACTATACCAGACCCACTGCCTTTTTATTTTTTTTTTTAATGGTATTTTAATTTTTCCATATAAGCTACAAGTACTGTCCACCACAGTATGGAAATGGTAAGGAGTCTATTTCAGGGGTCAAAAGTTGGAAGAAATCATTTTCAGGAGGTCTGGTTAATGAGCTTTCTTATAACACATATAATTTTATTTTGCTGACATCCATCGGCACTGACAATTGATAATAAAACAATTGATAATAAACCAGAGAAAACATGCAAATAATAAGAATTTGAGGGAGATGGGTTATTTTCCAGGAGATTCTTGCTAGCTTACATGAGTGCGGGAAGCCGTCCCAATTTACAGGAGACTCCCGCGCGTTGTGGGAGACTCAGGACCCCTGCTATTTAATTTGGTCTTTCAAAAAAAAATGCAATGACCTCCTGACCCTCCCCCAAAATATATGATGGAAACAAAAAAAAAAAACTTCCAAGAATAAAAAAAAAAAATATTCATTTAAATTTGAGCTGATAAAAAACTGTTGTCAATTTGCATGATTATAGCAATTATGACATTGTGCCAAAGACCGGATTGTGACGACAGATGCTGGCGCCGTACTCTTCATAATCAGCCTTTGTGTGGCAAACTTGAAAAAATTCGGGCTGAGGAAGATAAAAATGAAAAAGACAAAATTGTAAATATGTTTCATAAAAGTTTTATAGCATGTAGTTCCTAGGTATATCATGTAGCTAACATTTTCTGTAGTATAGAGAATGCATTCTAAGTACATTTTACTTTCATTCACCGGATGAAGGCCCATTTTAAGTAACTGTTATCGTCCCAGGAAGTCGGTGGGATGTCCCAAATCGCCTGGACGTTTGTTTGGGTTGTTGGCCAAACTGCAATGCTAAGTGCAGGTTGTGTATGTGAATGTTAAACAAACAATGGAAATAAGTTTTATATATTGCAAAACTTTCTTGGGTTACCCTAGGAATTAATGTCTTATCTTTTGTTCTTCATCATTTATTTGTTCTTTGTATCTGTTTTGTATTCATGTAATTTGTGATTTTAATTCCTGAATAAAATGAAAAGTGGTTGTGCATAAGGGACACCATGCTGTATTTGTTAAAGAAGTATTTTTCCCTGAAAATGACACAAAAAAATCAATAAAAAATAATTATGAAATTAACTTGCTCAATTTGCACACAAATTATCAGTGGCATAACAGCGAGTCATGAGGCCTGACCATTGTGCTTTATGGTCAAATTGATGACATCTGTAAGCATCTATCATCAAAATATCTGAATTTTTAGAAGGCCTATGATTGTCATAATGTTTTTACATGTATTTAATGATAGGCCTACAGGTGGTCATGTATTTAATTCTTTATTGATGTTTCTGGGTGGATTTGGTTGCCGACCGGGGCCCCATACATTTTTGAAAATTAAGGAAAATGTACTCTTGTAAAAAGCGTCGAATTAGAGTGTTGGGTAGTATAGGGGTCCCGTGACCTCTCCGGGCTCATTTGGACTTGGAACTGAAGTGGGGAGGGCTGCACTCTTCCTTTCCCCTCCCCCCCCCACCCCGAGATAATATGCCACTGCAAAGTATTGAGCATAGAAATTATTTAATTAAAAAATGTGTAGCCTGATTTTTATTTTATATTGGATAATGATAAAAATAGTAAAACACTTCCAGTGACTGGAGGTGTTTCTATCGTTTTTTGCTGTAAAATTATGGGTAAATATTTTGTAAATACATCAACTTCCATGTTCATTGATAATTTTTATGATAATTCAAAATGAGCTATTTCAAAAATCATTTTTATATTGGTATTTTTTCGGGAAGTTGGTACTCTTTTATTCGTATAAATTCAAAGTAATAATAACTTTACTATCAATGAGTAATTGTCTACCTTAGAATACACAACATGCAAAAAAACAATAAAAAATTTGAAGGTAAATATGTCAATTAACTCATATTCAAAAAACATCACATTCTTTGATCTCTCATTTAGTAGACATTCTCAAAAAACTTGTTTTTTTAACACAATATGAGGATGTATATTGCCTCTTAATGCTTCTCAGTCTGAGATAGTGAATTTCTCAATTTTAATATATTTGGTGCATCCCAGTCTTTCATTTATTATTTAAGGTGCTGTGGTTTAATAGGCCTTCTTAACAAACCTTACTGTATTTCAGTGCATGCAATGATACCCATGGCTGACTTAAGGGGACACAATACTGTATCACAGTAGTAACAACATGCATGCCTTTTGCCACTGAACACCATTGAAACTTCTAGGCAACACTTACACCCTGCATGTGGGTTTGGGGCCTGGTAGCCACGCAGCTCAGGGACCCAGGCTCACACTCCATGGTCCTGTACTTAATTTTTGTATGTTTTTAGTTAACTACTTACTGTAGATGCTAGCATACTGCCACCAAACCATACAGCGTAACGTTGCATATGGTGAGAGATGACTGACACATCTATTGGTTTTGGCTGAAAGACAAACACTACATTAATTTCAGTCTGTCGGATTATACATTAGGTTTGAGGTTGGTATGGTTGTTAAATTTAGTTATTTATCTTTATTAAGAATAATAATGTTAATAATAATAATACCAAAAATTAATGTATTACCTTCATACTTTTATCTAATTGAAATTCATATTTTTATTTAATTCAAAGGAAAAAAGCCTATCACAAGCCATATTAGTTGTAAAATCTGATTGATTGTTTTTACATAAAATTATACAGCTATATTTATTATGAAGCAACAAAATATGTTGTAATCATAGCAAAGTTAACATAGTATATTTACAATAACCAGTAATAATAAAATTATATTTAAATAAAGGTATCACTCGCAATCAAAATACTTTTTAAAAATTTAAAAGAAAAATACTTTCATATGTATCCATTATGAAATTTCATTTCTACCTTTATTCTTCCACCACTGAGAGATTCGCTAAATTTGAGTCGTGCGTCTACAACTCTCTTCACATCACGTTGCAGTCTTCTGCCAAAGTCCCTGAACATTGTGGATCCCCCAGACAGCACAATGTTCTTGTACAGGGGTCTTCTGACATCAATTGGACAATTTTGGATGCATGTGTCAACAATCTCGGATATGGGCGTTGTGAAATCTGGATTTGAAAACTGAATTTAAAGAAGAAATTATTACCAATTTGAAATCATGAAATGTGGAATTATTTAAAAGTGGCTGATAGCTTGTTTTCTAATATGCATGTACAGTAAAACCTCCATCTTAAAAGTGTTGATTTTACGTATTACAGTTAATTTTACAAATGATTCTTCTCTGAAAACTAAAAAATAACGTAAAATTGCAACTAAACTGCACCAAGGCCTTCAATGTTTTTTTATTATTAGTTTACTTATCTTTCTATGCCCTTTAATTGCCATTGATAAATTTACCTCTGGATGGAAGAAAATTTCTGGACCCAGGAAACGTTCATAGCCAACATCAACAGCAAATGGCTGCTTTGTGATTGAGTTTACTCCATCATACTTCTTCAACCATTTGCCTGGATCTGCATCATACTTGCCAAATTCCTTTGCTATATCTGGGCAAATGTAGCTATAACGTTCCTAGAAAAAAAAAAAACATCACTTTCTTATCAAATTGACTAAATATATACTAATTCTAGAGTACTTTTAGTAATTTTATAGTATTTTTGCTTTAGCCAACAACCAGAGCAAGAAATCTTACTCCAACTTGTATCTAAGGCAGCAGTTTCTGTAGCACCCCTGTACAACTTGCCCACTAAACTTACTCAAGTCTGTAAGTCTACAGCACCAATTGGTGTTCCCAATAAAATTAATAAATGGGTTGGAGCTTTTTCCCACACACGAAACGACATATCATCATGTGCATCTGTATCATGTCGTAATCATGTCTAGTGTAAATGTGGCTTAAAGCAGATGAGAGTGTGATGCTCCAGCTGAGTGGGACGCTGGTCAACAGCAGGTCACTTCCAACAATTTGCTAGTACCAACTGATACAGTTGGGTAGATTGAAGCAAAGAGAATAGAACTTCAAGGGGTCCGACTCTCGTGGTTTTGTTGGAACATAATCCCATTTCAAAAATTACAGCCACAAATCAGATTCAAATGTTTTAATTCAAAAAGGGCGCCCCATATCTTGTAGCAGTACTTTTTTTAACGTTCCAATGCGCGCACACAAAATCAAGGCAGTCGGACCTCATGCAATTCTACTGTATACTCTTTTACTGAAGCAATGTAGATGAAGTCCCTTGCTCAAAGACACAAGAAAATTGGGCAGCAAAGGATTGAAACCCTGACCAAATCATTTCCACTGTGACAAACCACCTCCACAATAATAATAAACGATGGTATTAATAATAGGTTAACCTACATAGTGCAATAGGCTAACCTACATAGAAAAATAGGTTAATGTACATAATGCAATTATAGGTTATCCTACATAGCAGAAATCAAAATGTGCTTAAATGTCCAACAAAAGATATGAAAAAACAAAAAGGAAAAAGAGACAAAGCAAGTGTAAGAGCAATGAGAAAATAGAAATAAAAAGGACAATACAAACAGCTTCACAATAATACATAAACCCAGTATTTATTTGCAGCAATTAGTATGAATACATCTAAAAATACCTTGATTGCTTTGGCTGTTTCGAGTGACTGCTCAGGTGGAATGCCGGTTTCACGTTCTCGTAGAAGTTGTTGAATAAAATATGTGATGTCACGACCAGCAATAGGGATGTGTTTGATACAGCTACCTATGACATAACCTTCAGCCTGTAATCAAAAACATACAAAGTTAATTTTGTACAAAATTTTCGGTCGTTCAAATTACCCAAGTCGCTGTATGTAAAAATATTTTCACATACCAATTTTATTAAAGTTCCTAGTATTTCACAACCCCAAAAGGAAACACAAGCCAATTTTACATTCTTGTCTTCCACTTGTCATATACACTATTTCAGTGGAGAAATTCTGAATGAAGTAAGTAAATTAAACAAGACTTCAGGTGTTTACATACTGCATAGTGTAAAAATTGGCACATCTATGGTGTAGAAGAATAATTTATGGTGTAAGAAGAAATTGGCACATCTATGGTGTAGAAGAATAATTTACATATGTATGATGAATAATGATGTGAGCATTTGTATATGAAAAATTTACATGATGTGTGCATTTGCATATGTATGAGGTGAGCATATACATCATGTCAAATGTAAGCATTTACATAATTTGAAAAATTTAAACATGATTTTGAATGTTATAGACATTGTAACTTACAACAGGGATAACGTGTGTAACACCGTCCCCACTATCAATCACAATACCAGTTAACGTTCTTTCTCCAACTTGTCGTGAGGTCCATGATGCTGCTAGAGCAAGAACAGCCTAAAGAAAAATACAAAATAAAAATTGTTTCAAGTATTAATGAGATCAGAGAAGTTCTAGGCTGCCACGTTTGCCTTCATTTTTTAGACAGGTCTCCCTCCAATTGAAGATCACTTTTTGGGACCGGGGTTTCCATAGTCTGTAGCTGCTTTGGTCTCTAATTAGAATAATAAAGATAAAAGACATTTGCTAATTCGGGACAATAGAAAAGTGGTCTTTAATTGGAGGTGGTCTTTAAATTGAGGGGCCTTTAATTACTTGTGTTTCCTTCATATCCCAACATCTAGCACCAAAGGTTTAGCAAGAAAAACGAAATAGGCCGTCCAAAATGGAAGCCAGTGGGCGTGGCCCATCCATCGGCTCAGGGGCACTCGGGGCCATGCCGCTTCCAAACATAAGAAAAAAAAAATACAAAAATATGATCTTAGAGGGCATTTAAAGGTGTTTAAATGTTGGATTTTTGTCTCCAAAGAAATAGTGTTGAATTAGCTATCGCAAAGATATTTCAGGTATAGACACAGCTATGATTACTCACATACTTTTTCTAGGCTATGGAGATGCATCTTCATCTCTCGCCTTAGTCTAGTGTAAATTCTACTCTAGGTCCTCCAAATTGAGATATAGGCCTAGACCTACTGTATTTTGTTGACTAATCAAACTTACTGTAACTTATAACATTAACAAATCTTCTTTACGGTATTTTATGAACTAATTATAACCAGAGAGTTACGAACATCAACAATAGGCCTATTATGTCGGGGAACCGAATCTCAAGTATTGTATTTGCAGACTAGAGCCATGTGCCTGCGTTATGGGTGACTCAGAACCATCCATTTTGCAGCAAGGTATAAATGTTTGTTGTAAGTGAACTTTTCACAGGGTTGGCAATGGTTAAGCCTTACATTTTTGGGAATACCCACCGAATACTGGTATGAAAACAACATACATTCAATCAATAAAGTTTGTTTTTATCAAACGTAAATATGATCTAGCTTTAGTTTAGTGTAACATTCGATAGATTTGAAGAATATAAAGAATTGCTAAAGGTAGACCAGGCCCAAATAGGCTAGGCCGCGCTAATTAGGCCAAGCCGTCCAAGCTGTCACGGTAAAGTGGCTGTCCTAAATAATAATGGTTCGTCCAAAAGACAGCTGGACGGCTTGCTGGGTAAGCCTATGTCTAGCACCAGATTAACCAATAGACCGAAATTACATGGTTATTCCTGGGTATTCCATTTGGCCAATGGCTTAGTGGTTAAGATGCTTGCTTTCCAATCCCAGGATCCTCCTAAGCCTCATAATGAGACTTGGGTCTTGTGTGGAGCATCTTGTGTGTATGTTTGTCTTGTGAAAGGATTGGCACTAAACAAAGAGTGATTTGCATATCCTTGGCCTAAAGCTGATAAAATAACATTAACCAAAAATGTTGAAAGTAACAACAAATCATGATGTATAATATACAAATTAGTTTAGTGCAATAAAATAAATTTCAAATATTTTGACATTCCAACATGTTTTAGCCATTATCTCCGAAACTCGATTTGCGAGGAGTGACTGGTTTCGCTCATCTTCGCCACAAATAAATAAATGCATTACCTGTACTGCAATATATAGACCAGGAACATTGAATGTTTCAAACATGATTTCAGCTGTATACTCGCGGTTCTCTGGAGTATTTAGCGGAGGTTCAGTCTGAAAAAAAAAATGTAGGAATGAAACACGCATGTATAAATGATCACATTATAATATATGCATGCGAAACATATTCAAAAATTAATTTATCATATGAAAATTTTTTAAAAGTCATTAAAATAACTGTGCTACCTGTATCTTTAGTGTGTGCAGGGTGAGTTTCTAATTGTTGGTGCTATAAAGGAAAATGATCTATGTTCAATTGCTCTGGAGGAAGTACTTGAACTTACAGTACTTCCAGTGAGGCGCAGATCAAACCAGAGCCTTACCATTCACAACAATGTCGAATAATTAAACGTGTAGGCTGCCGGCACTGTGACCTCTGATGATTAGTGCTTACAAAATGTTTACAAAAACGTGATGTAATAATAACAAACTGATTATTATTGTAGATTTTCGGTATATATTTCAGCCGCTCCAAGTTTCTTTCCTATTCTTCCTTCCTCCTGTTCTTAATATTAATGCATTTACTACCGATATTAATACTAGATTAGTAAACCTAGTCTAGAGCCTAAGCTACCCCTCAAACTTTTGTAAACATCGTGTACACTGTATATAGAGTAACACGTTTCAATCTTCCTATATTCAAAGCCGGAGTTAGCTGGTATAGTGAGAATCTAGGTCATTTTAGGTAGGCTTTCTTCATAAAGGCTTTTACGAAAGGAAGTTTTGCTGTGGAGCAGTAAATCAAGTTGTCCCTCCCCAGTACCACCTGATTATAAATCGATGGGAAATCAACCAATATGATAGGAAAATGCTGATGGTACCTGTACTTGCGACCTAAATTGAAAATGCACTTGTCGATAAAAAAAATTCTACTTTGTAATCAATCAGACTTTTTACTATGAAAATTTTTAATAATAATATTTATTCAGCAAAGTAAAAGTACAGGAATAGGCCCAAACAGTAAACAACTGCCCTTGCTCCATCATCAAAACATATTGACAAAACTGATTTAAAATTAACTTAACAAAACTAAAAACTTACAAGCCAATGGGTCTATGAAAAATAATACAGGATCTCTACAGTAGTATTATTCATTATTATTTGTATATTTAATTAGAGTGGAAAATGCATTTTTATAATTTCTAATTAAAATCTAATACTGTACCTAATGCTTAAAATATTAATGATAATGTAAGAAATATGAATATTTAATTCAATTAATCAATTTACAGTATTAGCTCAACTGACAGTATATCTTAAGCTTAAAGAACAGTACAGTGACTTTGGATTTATTTTGGTGCAAACACCAAGGATAACCCACGAAAGTCTGAAGAAAATTTATTTCCAGTGGGGTCTTTCTGGCGGTGATTGGGCAGTTCGCTGGGCGACAATCCCTTACTCTTTTCCGAAGAGTGCACTGTGTTCTTTAACACGGATATGGGGCATAATACACATGGGACCAACAGCTTAAACATCTTAATCCAAAAGACGGTGCGTGTAACATGCATTTCACTTCTCCAGCTAATATACAAGGAGAGCAAGGATTGGAATTGAACCGGGGACCTACAGATCTCCACAGTTCAGCGTACACAATGGCTACCACCAGTTTAGCCGACTGAGCTAAGCTGCTCTCTTACCAGTACCACATGTTGCATAACCTACTACACAGCACATAGAATAAACTTACCAGTAGGAAAAAGTGGTCCTCTGGCTCTGCTCTCAAGTACTTGAAGATTGTCTGTTCCCAAAATCTTTCCATTAAATCCCAGTCTTCAACAATGCCATGCCTAATAGGATACTGTCAATAAATATAAAAAAAGAATTACTGAAAGAGCAAATATTAATAAAAAGAAAAAGTGCCTTCTGTCCCAAAAGGCCTTTTGTGCCAATAGATATGTTGTTGGGTGGAGAAAGCTTACCGTATGTAAGAAAACAACAAGGAGGCATATACCTGTACTGTAGGACAGGTCACCAAGTTGACTGATAACAAAAATGGTAAAAGTATAGAAGATTTGAAAATGACAATTGGGAAGAGATTAAAATTAGAATACAATTTATAAAAAGTACTATGGATAAATAAAAATCTTTCTTAATGATGAATTTAAAAGGCCCACGTCGGCCGACAACTGTCGAGTGCAAACTTAAAGTCATAAACTTAGTTCCATAACTTCCTGCAAACTGCCCAGCAACACTTTCCAAAATTGGTCATTTTTACAAAAGACAAATCTCAAATTCTTACAGATAATGACTCATAAATCGAGAATGCTAAGCGCTGGAAATCCAAAAAGATTATTAAGCCACAATATGGAGTACCTTAATTCTTAAACACTACTGTACAGGGAACCTTGCAGTTAAAAATGATCCGAGTAGGTACGACCAAGGAGAAAAAAATGGTACAACATGGTTTATCTGAAATTATAGACCCCCTGATACTACAGTTTAAACACATTTAATTAGTACAGACCTTAAAAAATATCAGATAAATATTAACGTTGTAATTATGCAATGTTTAATAAAATATATTACAAATAATAAAATAATATAATTAACAGAATTGACATTACAAAAATATTAATAACAACAAAAAAACTTTAAAAAGCATACAAACTAGAGCTGAGCTTGTTAGTTAAGATTCCGTATCTAAATTTGCAATACCAGTTTCTAAGGTTAAAATCCTGCCACCAGGATAAAATTTACAAACTAAAAAAGCAACTCCACTTCCTATTGTAAGTAAACCTCATAAAGAGTATCACAGTATTTAACAAAGCACTGTTCCCTCTTGTAAATGGTGCTGTTGGGTGTGAAAGCAATAGGAAAAAAACAAAAAAACAAACAATACTAACAATAATATGTGAATATGACCAAATGAATGAAAGAGTTTACCTTGCATTCATAGCTTGGTTTATCACTGGCCTCATCACCAATATAAAAATCAAGATCTTCAACTCCTTTTGTTAGCCGTCTTTGGCTTTGTTCCCCAATCTTACGACCTTCTTTGATAGCAATAGCTGCAAATAAACAATTCCATTTAGTATATCCGTATTTATCCGAATAAACGTCCTGATTTGAATAAACACCCTGCTTTGAATAAACTCCCCCCTCGAATAAAAAGCCACTCCAGAGCATTATTCGGAAAATAAACAGCTCCCTCGAATAAACGCAACAGGCATTATTTTATTTTTTCCTTGAATAAACGGCCCCCCTCCCCACAAATGACTGTAAACAAAACTAACGGAAACAATATCAATTTCAACACTTTCTATTAATGTTCCACACCAATAGAATTACATTTCATCAAACCTGGTTAGGATCAATAAGTTTTTATGATCACATAATTAGTTGAATACATCTTTTATGTACTCTGCTAAGCAAATGTATAATATATATTTTTTTGATTATTCTACAAGTTATGAACGTTTACAATTCACATCGTTTTCAAATACTGTATTGTATGTTTACTATACTCCAATACTTGTCCTGTTTATTATCAATTATAAATTATAATTACTGTACTTACTTGATGGTATTATGTATTGTGGCTCTGTGTTCCCGGCAAAACCTATTTTGGTGTAACTGTCAACAAATAAAGAAAAAGTGAAATAAACAGTTACAGTTACATTCGCCTATCTTTCAAAACACACAATGAACTGTATTACGAAGTATTTACGATTCTGCTCATCTATTTCCTCAAAATTTTTCACACAACTTTGAGTTGGTTTTAGAGATACCCTCTGTGCATTTAATAATAATACACTTTAGAGTGTGGTACAGTGGTACAAAACCCTTCTCCCAGTGGTGTTTAGTATAATATAGGACACATCACTAGAAATGAATGAGGTAGCCTGATTGTTCGCTAAACCCACTAATAACAAACCTAAAACATGGTAAAACCTTGAATTGAAGCTCAATGCTCTTAATCTCGAGATGAAACTCATCTTGAATTGGGGCCCCTCTTTTTAGTTTGCAAAATTAGCCTTAAAAAGAAGCCCATGGGTTTCTTTTCAAAATAGCATGGCTTCTTTTCGAAATAGTACAGTACATACACTGTACTGAATTTTAAAAAACAAAACAATTGAAAAACAAGGTTGGTTTATACAGTAGTTTTGGTGATTTAATGCCAGTAGTTAAATACACTCCATGATAGAGATTGATGTTACAGTGGCTTTATTTATTGCTTTATAGTAGAAATTCATAAAATTTACAGTATTTTGAAAAGGAGCCCCACTCTTTACGGTAGCCGATCGTTTCAGTCGCGCCTCATTTCAGTCGCGGTTTATTTTGAACAAATATATGGAGCGCCGAAGGAGTTGCGAAAATGCAAAAATGTAATATGCCTAGGCCCTATATATTATTATAATTAGTTCGTCAATCAGTTTATCATAGGCCTAAGTATTTTTTTTATTTCCGTTTTGCTATCTTTCTACTAACAACATTTTATCTATATACTAACATATTCCCTTTCTTCCATTTACAGTGATATTCATGATTGAAACATGATCTTATTCTTATGATTGAAACAATGGAAATTAGTATGTGCTTCAGGCTATTCTTTTTGTTGCATTTTCATATACTAAACTTTAATAATTATGGTCAATAAAATGTATCTTTGATTTTAATTGAATTGAATGTTCTTACCATCTGAAATCTATTTCATAATTTAGTTAATAAAAATAATAATGATCACAATATTTAATCTGATCTTTTTATACAATAAATTTATTTATTTTTCTTGCAGCTCATTACACATGAAATCATATAACAAATATATACTGTATTTTATGATCCATTTATTTTTGTATTATATAAACATGATCAGCAACCAGCGCAGACGATTCAAAGTTACTGGTTTCATGAAGTAGGTGAACACATGTGAAGTGGTGAACTGCGCTCCAGCGTACGTGTTTGTACCTAGAAATAGCTAGCCGTCTATTTTAGCATCTGACCTACTTTTGTCTTTGCAGTAATGTATCAAAAATGGAAATAAAACAAACAAGTAATCACAAACCTTGTGTCAGCTTCGCCTTAAGAATACCATGGGAATCAATTTATGGAAACGTTTCTTTCCACAATTATACTCCAGTTATGCAACTAAATAAATAGGCCTAGCAAGTTGAGTGATTTTCTCGGGCTTATGAATATAAAAGAAGCATGAAACAGCTTTTAAAATGTACAGCATGCAATTATAAATGTATTGATAATTTTATATGGAAAATATAAATATGAATATACATATTTCCTTTACAATATTATTATAAACATGATCAGAACATTTATGGTAAATGGAAACGTAAAAAAAATGTATGCGAAACTAATCTATTGACTATACTTATTCCATAAATCTTTATTTAATTCAAGCATTATTTATATCAATATATATCGCAACAAACAATAAAAAAAAGTTTCTCAAACTCGGTCAACTTCATAACATCTGCGTTGTTTGTCAAAAAAAAAATAGCACCAAGTGATACAGTAATATATTAACAATAATAAACTTTAATACTAATAAAAATAATTGTTAATAAACTAATGTTACAGAAATTTAAATAACGAGTTGGCTGGTTTTTCCTGATAAAATCTTTGATTTTTATAAATAATATTATATCAAAAAACCATACCATACTAAGAAAAATACAAAATTTTTAGTATTAATTTTATTTGCTGTATGTGTATTTGTTATGTAGTAGGAAGCGTAGGATCGATAACAAAACGAAAATAAAAACCGTCCGATAAAAGAGTGAAATGGTACTAGGAATGCAACAAACTAGAAAATAAACTATAAATACCATAATATTAATTGAAATTTAGTTTAATAATAATAGTATTCATTAGCCTATGTTATTACTTAGTAGAAAGACCACAAAACTTAAACTTAAATTAAAAAAAGTATGATAAACCGATTGACGAACTTACAATGATAATTAAGCCTAGTTATATTAAATTTAGCATTTTCGCAACTCAATTGGCGCTCCATATATTTGTTGAAGACAAACCGCGACTAAAATGAAGCGCGATCGAAGTGAGGCGAGACTGAAACGAAGCGCGACCGAAATGATCTGTATTCCTCTTTACTTTGCAAAGGTAGCCTCGAAAAGAAGCCCACTCAAAGTTCGCAAAAAAAAAGAAGCCCAGGGCTACAAAATTCGAGGTTTCTCAGTAGTGATACAGAAGCTGGTCACACAACTAGGCCAATGGTAAACACAAATTTACAATACCAGGTGTGTCAAATCAGCAGGGGACTATATATAAGCCGGCCCTAGCTAGTTAGGATAGGTAGGCCTATTTATACTCATCATAGTCTTCTACTAGGCCTAGGCCTACACCTAGCTAAATGCCGTTTAAACAATTATTATGCAGCGTTCAAAATAATAATAAAAAGACACTATTTACAAACGAGTAAATTTAACATAGGCCTAAACTAAAGGAAGCACTAATATAAAATTAATAGTTTTGTTTGTAGCCTAGGCCAAGGTAACCGGGAAGTGACTGAAAAATTACTTCCCCATCACTAGCTGGGCTGTCTGTCGGCGCCGCAGCCAAGAAAGCACCAGCCAGACAGAGCAGAGCCCAGCGATGCCCTGGTGGTGGGCCGAGCAACGCCACGCTAGCTCGCCCTCCAAAACCATCACATATTAAGAACAATAAAATATACGTACCCTGTGCCATTATCAATTACGCATGCAGGTAGCCGTGATGCCATCTTGAGGTATGACTTTTTCTTTTGGTCTAAAAGTCTATAAAACCTCAAGAACCGAACTTTTAGCCGCACCCTTCACACACTCACGAATGCAAGTTTAGAAACAGGAACAGGAAGTTGATCCACAACCAGAAAACGGCTGAAAATTAGACTCCTCGCAGCCGTAAGTAAATTTGATGCAGACAATTTTTTTTATTAGATTCACTTCTGCGAATATCTATTTTCTTCTTTATTTTATTTTTTTAAATTTATTTTTATGTGTGTAAAAAAATGCCATATAACTACTTTCTGCCCAAAGTTTGCCACTCCAACACTCAGTGCATGAACATAAAATATTCATCAATAAAATAGAGCAGCCTACAAACCTCGAATAAGCCCACACTGGGGTTTTCTCGTGAATAAGCCCATCTCGAAGTCCATGTGCTTCTTTTCAAGATAGCATGGCTTCTTTTCGAGATAGTACAATAGGCACTACATACACTGTAGGCCTACATGAATTTCGAAGAAACAAAATAAATTAAAAACACTCTTGGTTTAGCCCCTAGAGTAGTTTACCTATTTATTGTTTTATAGTAGTAATTCCCAGGGCTTCTATTCGAGGTTTTACGGTATTATATAAATAGGCCTTTCATTGGCGGATCTGAGGTGGGGAGGGCGATCAGGGGGTCTTGACCCCACCCCCTTGAGAAAAAAATTTTAAAAAAAATCTCTGTGTACCGGTACACATAGGCCTATTTACTGTAATAAGAATGAGAAAAAATTAGCTGATCGTTTACAAAAGGAGAAAACCTTGAATTTGGATTAAAAGACTCTTAGAAGTCGGAAAAACTCATTTCTCGCCATCTGTACCAACACTTTTCCGGGGAGGACCTCGACCCCCGTTTTATTTGGGGTTCATCGATTTATTGAAAAAAAGAATGTATGTATGCAGCGACTCAATTTTTGTCATGTACCGGTACTGTACATACACACATAGTAGGGCTACTAGTATTTCCGTAATAAGAATGAGAAGTTTACTCGACCGTTTTCAAGCGGAGGAAAACCTTAACATTTAAAGAACTTAAAAGTCATTAAAAGACACCTCAGAAGTCAAGAAAACTAATTTCCTGCCATATAGTGATCAAATTTTTCGGACCCCTTTTCCTCTTTGGGGTTAGTCACTCATCGAAAAAAGAAAGCAACGCAATTTTTTAAAATGTACGTATAGGCCTACATACATAGGCCCCAATAGACCTATATACTGTAATAAGAATGAGAAAGTTTACCGTACCTGGCCGTTTTCAAGAGAAAGGAAAACCTTGAATTTTGAAGAACTTAAAAGTCATTAAAATACACCTCTGAAGTCTGGAAAGCTCATTTCCCGCCATCTAAGAATCAAAATTTTCGGGAGAGGACCCCTGGATCCCCCCCCCACTTTTTTTTTTTTTGGCGTTTTTATGAAAAAAAGTCTGATTACCCATAATTGTGAACCTAGATCCGCCCCTGCATTTTTACAAATTTTGGCAGCACATTCACTCATATTCCTAGTATTTCATAAATACAAACAAACATAATATTTCATGTAATTTACTGTATACCGTACACTTTAATAATAATTATAGGTGGCCTATTCATCCCTCTATATAGACCATAAACAATTAATTAAGGACGGGCCGCGATTTTTTTTTCCGTACGAAACATTTGCATGAAACTTCACTCGGGCCATCTCGGATTGACTCGAGTGAGTACGATACGAGGAACAAGAGCAGACACTTCGCAATGTCGTGACGCTCGAGTTTTACTATTATTGCTCTTTCTATGTTTACCTACGGTAGGCCTATGAAATCTCACGGACTTATGGGATGTA